TAAGTAAGAAAGATAATAGTTCTGTCCCGGAAATCCCTCGGGAAAGGACCTATGCTGTAATATTCCGGGACTCTATCGTTTAAACCACTGAACCTATTTTATTGAAATTCAGTACAACAGTGGTTTGCAACCCGGAAAAGAACATTGAATAATTTTTCTTACTAATAACTCACGGGAATGTACACTACATGGATAAAACCCATTTGCGAATGCTTATTATTTGAAATCACGAAAAATAATTCATTTTACAATAAATATAACAAGTACCGAATCGATTTTGATGAGATTTGTTAAAACGCATTAGAATTAACCTCGGAAAAGACTTTTCAAAAACCCACATTTTGCCAGAAGGCATTATAATACGCGGACGAAGTCATGGGGTATAGCTAGTCTTGTACCTATATACTTAGTAATGCCGCAACGCAAGGAAATAGGTTATAATAAAATAGGTTTTATCTAATAATGCCGTACACCTCTCGATACTGGTCATCGAAACCATATTGGAAACTCGATGGAAACTCGGTTGTCAATAAAGAAGAAAAAAATATCTATCAACAAAATGTCAAAATGACACTAATCCAAGCTTACACCGTCGCTAAACCATGTGGCACCATGGACTAACTTTTATTCTCAGACTAACGTTGGAATAGCTTAGTCCGACGTTACTCCTTGTTTATTAATACCGAAATTGACTATTCTGAGCCTAAACCATGGAGTAAAGTTATTCTTACTCTATTCTATGTTTATTAATAAGAGGGTATATGCTGAGTGCATAATACAGCAAACTGTAAAGTATTGATCCTGACCTGCGCAGTGCAGTTGGAACATTCTAGAAGTCTGGAGAAATAGCGGGGCGCAGCTTGCAGTCAGTGCGGCCTGCGACGTGTGACGTGCAGGACGTGTCGGTCCCTGAGCCTCGCTCGGAACCGCAGTCCTACGTGTCTCATCTCCCTGGCTTTAACATCTCGGTAAGTGGACTAATACCTGCATTGATTACAGTTTCTGAAACAGTAACGGTGATTCTCCGGGGCCTGCGTGCATCACTTGAGGGACGGGCCTTCTCTTCTTCTGTCGCAATTTGAAATATGTCTTCTTTTCTGATACAAACTACTTTCTTCTTACATATCATTCTTCTACAATTAATTTTTTATTTGGTCCTCCTTCCACTAATACTTCAGGCACATCCTCTGTTCATCCCTTCTCCTCATACCAAGGGAATCTATTACCTGACTTCTCTAACGACCAAACGACCACTGGTAAACTTACTCTAACTGATACTATGTTTCAGGTGACTGATGCCGTGCAGTGCTTCCATTCGTCTCTGACGTTGGTGCAGCAGCTCGTGGCAGCAGCGCTTTATCCTCACTGAGGCATGAGGTAACTATCCTATCTTACTTCTACAGCTAAAATTATCAACAGTTTATTTCGAGGGGAATTATGGAAGTGTGCCGTCCGCAGCCCCATGCTTACGGTGGCCGGAGATCGTCTCGCGATAATCAACAGCTTGGAGTCTAAAAGTATAGCGAATTTTCTCCCAATGTCTAGAAAGCTCTATAATCGGAATTATTTCAAAACAAAGATTCCCATGATGTCTCTCAATTTACGAACTGATTTTGATGCTGCTTTCGACGGAGAATGGTGTTATTCTTGGGATTGAATACTAAATAATGCTGGGAACGGAAAGCTAGGTAGTAATAATCTTGTTGATAGATACTCATATAGTGTGATGTTACAGGTGTTCTGCGAACGAGCTGCGTCACCAGTTCGCTGGAGGCAGGCGGAGGCGCGGTCCTGGCCCCAACCCTCTGACACCAGCGCACTGACCCTTCAACCTCCTCATCAGAAATGTAGCAACATTGTCTTCTACAGTATTGCTACATCTCTATGAACCCTCTTCCGGATAGATGACTACGGCTGGCGCGGTTCTCTTAAGACCGAGGCAAGGGGCTGATAGACAGTGTTTTACAAATACGCTCCTACAGTGGCTCTCCTCGCTCATCTGAGACTCGCGCCTGAACCCGAGGAGTGGAGAAGAGGATTTCACCAAGAGTATCAGTTATACCCTTTTTATTGCTGGTATTCTTAAATCTATATCATCGGAGCAATTCTCATCTCCTCTCCTCTGAAAACTTATTTAGCATGTCCCGATGTGTACGCTCATTAATATTTCATATAAAAATAATTGCCAGTAAGGGGAAACAACCGATATTGTAACATGTGCGTTTTATGTTATAATATTAATGTTCATGGTGATATGGCACGATGAATAACTAATCATAAAATGACACGAACATAAATCTTTAGGTTAAGGAAACTATGTGTTTTATTTTCCACCTTGTCCTTCTCATATGAAAAATCATTTTATGGGATAAGCCGGTAAATCAGCTTAGAATCAGACGGATTACCTGATGGGAAGCAATCAATCGGTGTTGCCCATGGACACCTGGAACACCAGAGGCGTTAAAAGCTACCGGCCCTTTAGGGATTGGAAATTTGATGATTGTTGGTGATTCAGGGATTGGGGACATTGAGGAAAGGGGGCGATAATTGAGACATAACTTAAAATATGGTTCTGAGCAAAGTGATTCGGGTTCAAGCCCTGGGTCGGGAAAAGTATTGCATTGAATTTGATCATCATTCGACTATTACAGCCTTGGTAGAGACAGGGAAACGGTGCTCTTTGAGAACACATCTCTGTCTAGCAACCATGGGGATTATGCCTAACCAGCATATACAAAGGAATAAAAACTGATCCCTATTCTGCTGACTAAAAAGATTTCATTATTTATGGAAGTTTGACAATGCGCCAATAGATGGCGTTGTACACAATTATCCTAAATCGCACGAGACTCTGTACCGTAGACATACTTACTGTCGTTCAAAATGAGACTTACGAATAGGGCTATGACTACATAACCAGTTACTGCACACCGTGGTGCGGGTTCGATTCCCATACAGACGTTACACTTTTTAATCAATGACAGATATTTACATGTATAGTATAATGATTGGTATAATGTAACTCATTTCTCTCAACTCAACTTTTACAAAAAAAATATTATTACATAAAAAAAAAATCCAATAATTTTTGCCCGATCTGGGAATTGAACCCGTTATTCGATGAACCAGAGATGTCAGTTTTACTTTTTCATAGAATATGATTTTTCTTGATTTTTTTCAACATGCAACTCTATTATTATCCTTGCAACTTTTTATATGTCTCTGTCAAAGTCATGTGTAAATGTCAATCATGTATATAGGGTGCCTAGCGTAAGAACTTTCCCCCAAATATAGGGGATAATGTAGTATGTAGTTTTAAAAAGGCATTATATTTCTAACAATTTTTATACGTGAGAGAGTCTTAGCTCGGCAAGAATGAGTCAGCTTGGCCGGACTGATACAGCACTCAAAACAGGCGTGATACAATAATTTTCGCCGGGTGAATCAAGTTATTGTAAGTTTAATTCTCTCCGTCTATCCTTAATCCCCAATAGGCAAGCAATGTACTTTTAACTCGTCTAGTGATGCAACTGTCTGTAAGACTGCTTGTTTCATAAAAAAATATTTGTTTACTTTAACTTCAGCCAAAAATATTTAGAATTTCGGATATTTCCCACTCCGCCGAATCCGCTATTATAACATACTATCGATCGAAGCGTTATGTTCTATAGCCTTCCTCGACTATAAATGGTCCATCCAATATGTAGGTAGTTATTCAAATCGAACCAGTATTACGAATTTAATCCAGTAATGTTTTAATTAATAAAAATAAACTACATATTTGTTTTTTAGAGGTGTTTTATTTTAGGGATAATTATATTCGAGAGTTGGTAACACTTGCAATATGTCATGTCAATCAAAATTACTATCTTAGATTGTGTCAACAGAAGGGAGTTTTAATAGTAATTTGCGAATTACTTTCTATTATAAATATTACTTTTCGAATGGAAATGTAATAAATAATAAGACGTAAAACATGGAGGACAATAAAATTGAAACGAATGCGGAGAGTGAACGGAAATTTTCCCGACGTAAAGTGTTCAAGTTTTGTTCCATCGCTGTAATAGGTAAATTTTATTAATTTCCCTATTATTTATTAATAATAGTACAATTTATTTAATAGCTAAAGTTTCTGTCATTCCCTAGTTGCGTCTTTTTTAATCTTTTTTTCGAAATATAATCTCTAGAAATCTTGTCGCAAAACCATTTTCGGATCTCAAATATTATAAAAAGTAATATCTTGGTGACTTAAATTAATCTAAAAGTTATTAGCTACAGCTATTTATTTTGCAATTTAATTATAAATGTCTCGATACTAACGTTTGTTTTTATTGTGATCATGTTATTTTGATTTAAACTTCATTGTTTTTAAATGCTGAAAGATTCTTATGAATTATTATAGAAAATATGTTAATAAAACTACCTCGTTGGTCGAGTGGTCTTAAGTGCGACTGCTGGGCACGGAGTCTTGGGTTCGATTCCCGGGTCGGGCAAAGTATTAAAAGTATTTTTAAATATAACCAGAATTAATGCGTATGGTCATCAAGTCTAAAGAGTGTTTACCAAATGTCAGATCAATTTGTCGACAAGAAGAGGGTAAAATATCATTTACTAAATTTGACACAAAGAAACAAATCACAATAACAGCCTATAAGTGGACCAGAGGCCTCTTCTCACATGGAAAAGGTTTTGAGCATTGATCACCACACTTGGTCAATCTGGGTTGGCGGTTTTAAACTTATAATTAGAGTTTGTAAGCCTAGGTTTCGTCACGATGTTTTTCTTCACTCTTTGACAGTGGTGTCTAAATATTCTAAGAAAGTACATATAACTAGGAAAAAGTCACTTTGGTATTTGCCATTGGTAGGTTTCGAACCCGCACCCTCATGCATGAGAAGCAATCGTCTTAAACCTCCAAGCCACCACAACAAAAACAAACAAGGGTAAACTAAATAAAACTGGCGATGGCGACCTCTCGCGTCTGGGCCTAGTGCAGGTCATGATGCGGAGCGAGGGGGACTGGGATGCCATCTCCTCCTTTTGCGAAGCAGTCATGCTAGCTAAGGAGGAGGTGGGACGCGTGAGGTAGCGAAGCGCTGCCTCCTCGCAACCCAGTCATCCGGTCATCGTGAAGGACACACCGGGCGTCGGGGATTTTACTTAAGGCCGTATTGGTGTTGAGGCCGAAACAGCTTTCCTCACGATCTCCCGCCATCTCTCCCTGTTTGTGGATTGTCAAAGTCAAAATCAAAGTCAAAGCGTTTATTGCAACTAAGTGTACAGATGGTGGTTATAAAATTATTACAGTGCTTAATACTTAGCGGCCTCTTACAGACATTGCAACATTTTTAGTTATGTAGGTACACATTCATTGTTATTAACATTGTAGGTAGATATTACAAATCATAAAGAAAAGAAAAAATAATAATAATAATAATTGTCAGGTATATGTCACATCATAGTCTGGTGCAGTCTGACACTAGGTTTACCGATTTAACCTGATCGGTCCAGCGCATAGGCGATCTGCCTCGCGATCTGAGGCCTTAATACGAGTTTAAATTTTGTTTATGTTTAAAGTATTCGAAACGAGTACGTGTTCGGCAATCTGATTGGCCGTCGCCAATGAACCAACCAATCAGAGGCCTTAGTACAAGTTTGTTTCATGTTTAAAGTATTCGAAACGAGTACGCGTTCTGCGCTCTGATTGGCCGGTGCCAATGAACCAACCAATTAGAGGCCTTAGTACAAGTGTGTTTCGAATACTTTAAACGTAAAAAACAAACTCGTAGTAAGGCCTCTGATTCCCTCTACTTTCCTCTTTTACATAGATTTCATTATTTTCTTTTGTTACAGCGATAACACTAGGCTTCGTACACTACCGCTATGTATCAAGTCTCTTCGAAAACGACCGGAGTTTCTCCTACCTATCAGAGATGGAGAGGGAGATGTCTCTGAGAACGGAGATGGGTTTCTATTACTCATATTATAAAACTATGGTGGAAGAGAAGCCGTTCATCGCTGGGATATCGAAGCTCATGTATGATAGATTGGTTGAGTACCCGAAGGATGTGAACGCTTTCAATCGGTTCAATATTTATCCGGAGGTAAGTTTTCAAGGTTTAATGTATTTTTAACCGACTTCAAAAAATGAAGAGGTTCTGTGTTTAGCCTTTATGTACGTACTAGCTACTTCCGCGCGCTTTCACACGCTCTGCTAAGCTCCTATTGGTCGTAGCGTGATGTATTATGTCGCGGAGAACCTAACGGGTAACCGGGGCTCCGGTTCGACGTGCAGGAGAAGGAACGGGGTGGTTTTTAGTCAGTAAGAGTCTGACACTGCCTCCCGCCTCACCTAGGCGGGAGAAGTCATTCGATGATTTTCCCCCCTTAAAAAAAAGCGTGATGTATTATAGCCTATAGCCATCCTCGATAAATGCGCTATCCAATACAAAAAGAATTATTCAAATCAGACTTGTAGTTACGGAGATTATCGCGTTCAAACAAAAAAACAAACTCTTCCGCTTTATTTAATAGTATAAGATGAATGTTTGTGTGCGTTTATCTTGCGATTGGCTGAACTGATATTGATGTGGGTTTCATATAAGTGTTTGTTACGTTTCACATAACACATCGCATCAACAGCCTATAACCAACACCATTTTTTTAAAATCGGTTAATTAATTAATATGCTGGCTTTTTACACTAAATAAACATTTTATTCAACAGCCTATAAATGCCCACTGCTGAGCAAAGTCTCTTCTCACACGGAGAAGGTTTGAGCTTTAATCACCACGCTTGCTCAATGCGGGTTGGCGATTTCAAACTTATAATTAGAAATTATAAGTCTAGGTTTCCTCACGATGTTTTCCTTCACCGTTTGTCAGTGGTGTCTAAATAATCTTAGAATGTACATATAACTCGTAAAAAGTCACATTGGTGCTTGCAGTTGGTAGGTATCGAACCCGCACTTTGATGCATGAGACCACGACAACGCGGAAGTAGTTAGTGTTATATAAAAAAATAATGATATTCATTTTTGAAACAACATAACATGACATTGCCTTTTATCCCGGAAGAGGTAGGCATATGTGCACAATACGGCACTCAATGCAATGTAACACCCACTTTTCACTATTTATGTTATGAGTCCCATGTAATAGGGGGTGAGCGTATTGCCATATACCGGGCACAGTTCCAGACTCCGTGCTACTACTGAGATTTGTTTTTTTTAAATCCCAGTAATACTTTGCCCATCGAAGACCCCTTGCAGCTTCGCACTTACGACCACTCGGCCAACGAGGCAATCAGTTATTTTCGGAAATGGATTACCTTTGATCAACAACAACAACTACAACAACTATTGCTATTGTTGATCGAAGTAGACTACAATAACATTATGGTATTTATTTTTTATTTATATTAAACAATATCAAATTCCAGGTCCTAATCGGAGCTCTATATCGTTACTTCGAGCCATATTTGAACACGTCCTCGCATCGCCAGTGCCACATGGTGGACCGGGGCGAGCTGCCTCCAGTAGAGAGCTGCGTGGGCATTGGCCAGCCGATATTCTTTTATTTGGAGGCAGTATGGTGGATGGCCGGGTTGACCGTCGCAGCCCTGTTTTTGCATGCCGCTGCTTTAAGGTAAGATTTAAAAAAAAACAAAAACGTTACCCCACATTAAGATCTTCTCCTATGTCGTGTGTTCGTTTACAAACATACAAGTTCACATACACATCACACACAGACCCGGAACAACCATTTGTGGATTACACAAAGTGTTGTTCCGTGCGGGAATCGAACGAAAGTCCCCACTCTATGCGCCCGTGGCCCCAACCTCTAAATTTGAAACCTCTTTCCAGTGAAAGCATCTTAGGCGGTTTGCTAGCAGTGGCTCAATACTTCGCGAACCATTCAGAGTGCACCAGAGTGCAATGGGCTCCCAACGAGAGAGAGAACTTCGCAGCACCTCTCCTGCTGCTGCAGACCTGGCTGGTATCCATGCAGCTCAGGGATAAACAGAGGAGGACCACTTTTCAATTGCAAGTAAGACGTTTTTACTATCCTACCTATATATCGTACAATCCTACCAATGTATCGTACAATCCTACCAATATATCCTACAATTCTACCAATATATTGTACAATCCTACCAATATATCGTACAATCCTAGCAATGTATCGTACAATCCTAGAAATATATCTTATAATCCTACCAATATATCTTACAATCCTACCAATATATCTAGAATTCTACCAAATTTCTTGTTATTGTCCATACTAACGAGTAGACATCACCTGATCGAAAGTAATCTGCACTACTCATGAATACCCGCAACACTAGAGGAGTAACAATTGTATTGCTACTTGTTAGCCTCTTGGGGATTGGGAGATTTGGGGATTACGGGTGGAGGTTTCGGTACTATCTAATCGACATCCTTGCTACTATTAAGTTTGTGAAAGTTTATTTTATGGAATAAGCTGTATCACCTGATGGTAAGCAATTGGCGCCGCCCATGGACACCCGAAAAACCAGAGACGTTACAAGTGCGTTACAAACCTTTTGGGGATTTCCCAAATTTGAAGATTGTTGGAGATTGGGGATATCGGGGACGGGTAAATGAGCCTCCCGTACCCTCATTTACAAGACGATACACAACAACATGTTGAGACGTTACAGTGTTTATTTTATCATCTGCATTTGCATTGATATGTATAATGTTACCCACACATGTTTATACAAATAAATATATCTTTATTCGGTTCGATTCGTCGGTTTTATGCTCGGCCGTGTTATCACTCCGGTCGAGCCGGCCAATAGGGTAGTTTCCAGGGTAACAAAATTCAAAATCCAATTAGTCCGTCAGTTAGATAATGAAAAAATATCAGACATGTATTTTTTTATTTTCTCGTATAAAGTTACAATACTTAAATAAAATGGCGCTAAGTTTAGGAGTGGGTGGTAGTTACGTCATAACGTGGTACATTTTGTAGCACGCTGTGACGTCACGCGACATTTCAAATCAATATATCGTCAAAAGCGTTTATTTTTGTGAGAAAAGAAAAAATACGTGTCTAATGTTTTAAAATAATCTACCAGATGGACATTAAAATAGAATTTAGGAAACTACCCTATTCGTGCCGAAGCATGGCTCACCCACACTTAAATTAATATTACCTTTTCAATTGTTTCAGGTGTCCATCTTCATATTAAACTGCCTGTGTCTCTTATTCTGGCAGTTTTCCCAGTTCATATTTTTGACTCAAACGGCCATTTTTTTTGTAATGGAACAATTTCGTATAATTGACGTTAAAGCACTTTGTATATTTCTGCATTCCCATTTCTGTGGCCTTCACATGGCTGTCCTTCTTCTACAGGGCAATGATATGCTAAAATCGTCCTTATACGCTTCCTACTTCGTGATAGTATCCGCGTACTGCTTGTTCTTCAGCTCTCTAAGGCTTAAGGTTCAAAATCGCGTGGATTTGTTCGTGGAGATTTGGCTTATTTTCCTAAGAATAGCTATAGTGACTTTAGCGGCTTTTTACTTGAAGAAAGTGCTGAGTAATTTTTTGAATGTTGAAGAAGATTCGCATGTTTGGGATATTTTGTACTCGAAATTCACGAATTTCAAAAGTTTTCATACATTAATTTATACTTGTAATGCAGTTTTTGATTTTTTACCCTTAAGTTCGATTCAAAAACTATTTAGATCATTCTTGATACCCTTCGCCATGTTAAGTGTTGCCAACATGTGCAATTATTGGGTTACGAACGCCGTCGATTCGTGCGAGAAAGAGATAGACAATCGAAGTCAAAAGAAAGAGAAGGATGGCGATGTATCTGACGAATCAGATTCCGGCATTGAAAATTCAGATTTAAAGAAAAATATAACGGATTTGGACATTATAGATAAGGAGATAAAGTCGAAAATTGAAGGGGAAGAGACTAGTGATGTGCTTATATTGGTTTTGAGGCATATGAAGGCTGAACCGGCGATATTTTATAATATATCGCAGATGTTTGTCTATGGTGTCATGGCGGCACTAGTGATGCGACTCAAGTTGTTGTTTACAACCCATTTATGTATTGTAGCCGCTATTATGATGAATTCTAAATATTATCCGTGAGTATTAACGTTTTTTTTATTAATTTTGCTTGCTTGTTGCAAACGCTAGGGAGATTCGGGTTTGGTCCCGGGTCGGGGCAAAAAGTGTGAGTTTATGTCTGTAGTGAGTCAGGTTCGAAACCCGATAAAGGTACTTTTATATTTTATTACTAAATCTATTTTACTTTATCTCTTATTTAACCTACATTATTAGGAAACTATTTCATAATATCACGTTTTTTATCCACGAAGGTGTAGGCAGAGGTGCACATTACGGCACTTAATGCCACTGTACAATGTAACACCCACTTTTCACTATTTATGTTCCTCCACATGGTGAGACTATTGCCATATACTGGGCCCAATTCCAGACTCCGTGCTATTACTGAGAATTTTCTCCACAACTACGTCCATTGTGGATATCAAACGAAATGGCATGATTATATCATGAACAGAGGTCATTTTTTATGGCATAAGCCGGTAAACGAGCAGACGGATCACCTGATGGTAAGCAATCGGCGTCACTCATGGACACCTGAAACACCAGAGGCGTTACAAGTAGAGACGTTACATTGTTGGAAATTCAGCGTTTGAGAGGGGGGGGGGGGAATTGGTCCTCCGGTAACCTCATCACACGGGGAAAGACAACGCAAGCGTTGTTTCACGTCGGTTTTCTGGTATCACACCGGTGGAGCCGGCCCATTCGTGCCGAAACATGGCTCTCCCACTTATTAAAACAGTTTAGTACTAAAAATACTATATACATTATATTTCAGCATCCCAAAGTCCTACAAGAAGTACCTGCCACTCTTCTGGGCAGTGTGTATGTCTCCGCTCATACAAGACATGTTGCAAAGTATACCGAAGGAGATGTCGCATATAGGTGAGTTAAAAATAATTCATTTAACCTTCAAGTCCTGACGTAGTTACTCATACCATAAATGGTGACGTGATGTACATATGTCAAACACATAAAATAACATCACGCCTTTTATCCCCGAAGGGGTAGGCAGAGGTGCACACAGAAGTAGGTAACACCCACTTTTTACAATTTATGTTATGAGTTCCATGTAATAGGGGGTGAGCCTATTGCTATATACCGGGTACAATTCCAGACTCCGTGCTACTACTGTGAATTTTTTGAAAACTCAGTAATACTTTTGCCCGACCCGGGAATCGAACTTGCGACCACTCGGCCAATGAGGCAGTCAAACACCTTAATAAATAATCGAAATGGATTGCTTTTATTTACTGATTTGCACGATATTTACTTGTATTATGATCGGTCCATTATAATTCTATTAAGTAAGTGCAAAAAAAATAAAATTTTCGAATGAAATCAGCGGTTTTTGATTCAAATTCTATAAACATATATTTATATTTAGCACTAGCTACTTCCGCGCAGTTTCACTCGCTCTGCTGGGCGCCTATTAATCGTAGCGTGATATTTTATAGTCTATAGCCTTCCTCGATAAATCGGCTATCCAGCACAGAAAGAATTTTTCAAATCGGACCAGTAGTTTCCGAGATTAGCGCGTTCAAACAAACAAACAAACAAACAAACAAACAAACAAACAAAAAACAAACTCTTCAGCTTTATAATATATACATTAGTAGGTTAAAAACATTTTTCAAAATTCCAGGTGAATTCAGCGACATAAACCAAGAACAGTTGCTAGAGTGGATCCGGGCGGACACGCCCGTGACCGCGGCGTTCGCGGGATCGATGCCCATCCTAGCCACCATCATGCTAGTCACGAGGCGACCTATAGTTGCGCATCCACATTATGAGCACTTAGATGCCAGGTAAGATATACTGTCTCTGTCTAACGCTATTTTAAGTATCCCTTGGGAAGTGTGGGAGAGCCATGCTTCGGCACGACTGGGCCGGCTCGACCGGAGTGATACCACGGCCGAGCAGACAACCGACGTGAAGCAACGCTTGCGTTGTGTTTCGTCGTGTGAGTGAGGTTACCGGAGGCCCAATTACCCTCCCCTTCCCCAATCTCCCCAATCCCTGAATCCCCAAAGATCCTCGAACTCCTAATCCCCAAAAAGCCACGCACTTGTAACGCCTCTAGTGTTCCAGGTGTCCATGGGCGACGCCGATTGCTTACCATCAGGTGATCCGTCTGCTCGTTTACCGGCTTATGCCATAAAAAAAGCAAAGAAATATTCCGGGCCCCGTGGAATATTTCTTTTTTTTAACTTTGCCCCACACTAGGATTTCCTCCTGTGTCGTGGGTGCGTTTACAAACATACAAGTTCAAATACACATCACACCCAGACCTTTTTTTTTTGAAGGGCGAAAATCATCCAATGACTTCTCCCGCCCGAGTGAGGTGGGAGGGAGTGTCAGACTCTTACTGACTAGAAACCACCCCGTTCCTTCTCCTGCACTTCGAGCTGGAGCCCCGGTTACCCGTTAAGTCTTCCGCGGCTCCGGATCGGCACCAGCCCTGTTGGGCCCCATCTGTGGTGGTCTGATGGCTCTTTGAGGCGCGCGCGTAATGCGACGCGCCGTACGCTCGGGTCTGGTTCTGGTCGGACGTTGAGTCACCCATGCTCGCCGTCCGCAGGCCCGTATCACAGACCCAGACCTGGAACAACAATATGTAGATCACACAAAGATTTGCACCGTGCGGGATTAGAACCTACTATAGGTTGCGCGGCAGCCGGCTGCCGTGTATGTGTCTGTCGTAGTAATTGTCGGTCCTTCAGAGCCTCCTAAAGATGGGGGCCTTGGGCACGGGCCCCTAGTGCCCTCATGGTTAAGACGGTACTGATCAGCCCTGAATTTCAAGTTGCTACCATCAAATATCTTCAATTACAGAGAGCGCGCGTACACTGTACACAAAATGTACGGTAAGTTCACTCCGCATGAGTTCTACCAGGATCTCACCAAGCTGAAGGTCAGCTACCTCGTCGTAGAGACGAAGTACTGCTATGGAAGGAGCAGGTAAGTCTTATATAAAACATAACATAACATAACATCGCGCCTTTTATCCCACTGAATTGGCGTGTCGACAGGGTAAAAAAATCAAAAAAGTAATTAGTCCGTCATTAAGATCGCACGAAAATATCAGACACGTATTTTTTGTTTTATCAAATTAACAGAAGAATACGTAGTTATTCCGCATTAAAGTTAGGGAGTGGGGGGTGTTGACGTCACACTTACGGAGTAATCGTACCTAAGGGTGACGTCACGCGTCATTTTAACTCAAAATATCTACATGTTTTTTTGGATACGAGAAAAAAGAAAAAATACGTATCGAAGATTTTTAAAATATCTAAAAGACGGACAAAAAATTAAAAAATAGTCGCCATGCCTATTGTGCCACTGTACAATGTAACATCCACTTTTCACTATTTATGTTATGAGTCCCGTGACTGCCTCGTTGGCCGATTGGTCGCAAGTGCGACTGCCGGGCAAGGGGTCTCGGGTTCGATTCCCGGGTCGGACAAAGTACTACTGGGTTTTTAAAAAATTCTCAATGATAGTACGGAGTCTGGAATTGTGCCCGGTATATGGCAATAGCCTCACCCACTATTACATGGGACTCATAACATAAATAGTGAAAAGTGAGTGTTACATTGTACAGTGGCATTACGTGCCGTAATGGGCACACCTGCCTACCCCTTCGGGGATAAAGGCGTGATGTTATGTAATGCAATATTTTAATGATGCGTTCTCTGGCAAATGTGTTCCTTAGTCTGGTATACGACACCCGGTTGAAGAATATGGCTTGTATATTATTCTTTTCTTGCCATACTTATATCAATTTTTCTATTATTCCAGTACAGGATGTTCGTTCGAGAACATATGGGACATTGAGACGCCCTGGTTGAGTAAACGTCCGACCATCTGCTCAACCTTACTCACCCAACCAGTCGACCACTTCTATCCCGTGTTCCGAAACGAACATTATGCTGTGTTCAATATCCATGATTATAGCGTTCGGTAAGTTTTATATTTTATTTATTTACTAGCTGATGCTCGCGGCTTCGTTCGCGTAGCCGCTATCTGCCAATAAAAGTCCCGTCAAAATCGGTTCAGCCATTTCAGAGATTAGCCACAACAAACAGAAAGACAATAATTACACATATACAACCTCACACCTGTCTTACATGGAAGTAGGCAGAGACTATTTTTTTTAAGAGGGGAAAATCATCGAATGACTGCTCCCGCCTGGGTGAGGCGGGAGGGAGTGTCAGACTCTTACTGACTAAAAACCACCCCGTTCCTACTCCTGGACTCCGAGCCGGAGCCCCGGTAAACCGTTAAGTTTTCCGCGACTCCGTATCGGCATCGGCCCTATTGGGCCCCATCCGTGGTGGTCTGATGGCTCTTTGAAGCGCGCGCGGAACGCGACGCGTTGCTTTTTGTGCCTGTAGGCTTAATTCATTCTGTCTCCTGCAGTAATTCACCGAGGGAAGTAGAAACTATCGTTTTTTTTCTCTTGTCTTATAATATCTTCTGATTCACTTCGTTGTGGGGACTAAGACAGTTACTCATGTCCCTGGGACTGGTTTCTGGACTGGACTTCAGTGTTCCGGTGTTTTCATGGTTGTATCTACTGTAGATCCTGGCTTACAGGAGTTGCAGCGGTTTTGAGAGGTTGTGGCGGGCTTGTCCCATATAGAGGCTGCAGGTCCGCAACCGCTGATTCGGGAGAAAATCGCGCCGTAAGTCATTCACAGACAGTCACAAAAACACAAAGTAATTCATATAGTTTATTTTCTTACTATCATTTATTTATATATTTAATTAAACTTCATGCACAAAGTGTACATAAGGTAAAAGAAAGGAAGAAAAAAAAACATTTATTTGACAATTGACACACACGATTATAAAAAATAAAAATACAGTTATATAAACCAAATACTAATAATAAACTTAAAAGAATAGACATCAGAACAAAAAACAGTGTAGTAACAAAATAATAAAACAATGAAACAGAATTTTGAATATACAAAAAAAAAACAGAGAAAAAAAAAATAAAATCAATTTGCGCGTGCTCCTGCCAAGGGGGCCTCCACCTCAACATATAGTTGGACGTTTCTGCCCAACGCTGATATTCAGGTGGCACCTTGCAGGTGCCTTTCAGGTGGACTTAATGCCGGCATTTTCTCCCAGTGTGACCTTTGGGTGATGCAGAGAAGAGTTAATGGTGTGAGCAAGAAGCAAGCAACGATTTAATAGAGCAAATAAAATAGATACACTTACATATTTCAGAGATAAACATAAATAAACATAATTATTATATATATACCTACACACGAGTACAATATACATACATACATAAATATAAACTGTAAGTAATTAGCGTGATGATGATATGTATCAGAGACATTGTAGAACATACTTTTTTAAAAAGAGTAACGAATGGAGTTTCTTACTCGTTCTTCTCCATTCGAATCTACTTTTTGGAATGAGCACCTAGCTTCACCTAGCTTCACTGACGGGCTGACTGACAGACTATTAGTTATTTTGTATTTGTTGACGTTTCAAAAGTACCAAACTATGGTTTAATTGAAATAAATGTTTTGACTTTGATTCAGCCAACCTCCCCAAGAGAAGCTCACGTACTTTCTGCTTAAATGATAGACGAGTCACCATCCTGACATCTATAATTATTCTATGCTGAATTATAACCTATCTCCTTCTCTCATTCCAGATATATGCCTCGCAGCTTCGAATCTTGACATCCGGCCTCTCACTCTAACTCAAATAAGACTGACACCCTTAGTTTATTAGCTGTTAGGTGAATATAAAGAAAAGCAGATGGCGCTAGCGTAGTTTTTAGTCACCTGTAAATAACAACTGTCGACTGCAGGACTACGAGCATTTTCTATATAAGAAGGGTTGGAGATCGCAGTGTAAAAGGTTCAGGTTTATCAGAGAGCGCTGCTGCACGGTCTTCGACGTCGGGTGTATGGTACCCAAGGAAAGAAAAGGGGTTGATTAATGTATTCTTCTCTGCCGTTACCACACGGTGTATAAGTGTTGTGTATTAAATATCAAATTTTTAAGTTACTACTAATGTGACCAAAATAAAATACTTATCTTCGTGGCGCTGTAGTCGTTTTTGGCGTCCCTTTGTAAAGATATTTGTATGAAGAAATTAGTTCTCGAAAAATCCGTTGTTTGAGGGATACCGACTAGTCTTAATTACCTTGATAACTGTAAATATTTTATTAACACATGGTCGTTTTCACCAACCATCTTTTAACTAAGAGTTACTTAGTTAAAGGAGCACCTAAACTATCCCCTTACTTTTACGTATAGGTGGCACTTATAGGTTGTTAAAAACCAAAATGTCGGTAAGTGCCACCTATCTTACCTTAGGGATTCCTTAAAACTTAAATGTGGTTTGTGAAAACGGGCAAGTGTTCTTTATTTTATTAATTATAAGATCGATTTTCCTAAAGCAAGTGTTACTATTTTAAAATGTAAATAATTATATTGTTTCTAATATTAAATTAAGACTAGGTTTAAAAAAGAAATTCAATACTAGCACGGAGTCTGGAATTGTGCCCGGTATATGGCAATAGGCTCACCCCCTATTACATGGGACTCATAACATAAATAGTGAAAAGTGGGTGTTACTTCTGTGTGCACCTCTGCCTACCCCTCCGGGGATAAAAGGCGTGATGTTATGTTATGTTTATGTTTCTAATATTATTATTTGTTCTTATGACTAGTTGCAAGTTTAACTACTGAGCACAAAGTCTCAGATTCGATTGCTATGTTAAGTAAGGAATTATTATCTATTGGTCATTTAGAATTCTCGATGTTCGAATTTATCACTAGCTCGATGTTCGAATTTTCTGCCCGCGACTTCGTACGCGCAATCCCGTTACTCCCGTTCCCGTAGGACTTTCTGATTGGATTTTTTCTGTCATGAGAACCTTCTCCTAATAATAACAAATATAACAAAAAAGAATTAGTGTAATCGGTCCAGCCATTCACGCGCGATGCCGTAACCAAGGAAAAAGAGATTCATTTTTATTTATACATTCTACTCTTCGCGACTTCGTACGCGCAATCCCGTTTTCTCCCGTTCCCGTAGGATCTTCAGAATTTTTTCTGTCGTAAGAACCTTCTCCTGACAATAATAAACACAACAAAAAAATCAGCCAAATCGGTCTAGCCGTTCTCAAGTTATGGCGTGACAATAGGAAACTGGTATCATTTTTATTATTGACTAGCGACCCGCCCCGGCTCCGCACTTGTGCAATATGCATGTATTATACATATAAACCTTCCTCTTGAATCAATCTATCTATTAAAAAAACCGCATCAAAATCCGTTGCGTAGTTTCAAAGATTTAAGCATACATAGGGACAGACAGACGGCGGATAGCGACTTTGTTTTATACTATGTAGTGTTTTTGAATATTGATAGATATCACGAAGTCTGGAATAGTAATGATGACCCAAAATGTTGTTAATGTCCGTCTAGAGGACTTAGGACCAATTTGTTATACGATTTTTATATAATAGGAGTCGAACAAGCAGACGGATCACCTGATGGTAAGCAATCGTCGTCGCCCATGGACACCCGAAACATTAGAAACGTTACAAGTGCGTTACCGGCCCTTTGGGGATTAGGAATTTAAGGATTGTTTGGGATTCTGAGATTAGGGGGAGGGTTATTTAGCCAGCCCATTCGTGCCGAAGCATGGCTCTGAAGCGACCGGAGTGATACCACGGCCAAGCAGAAAACCGACGTGAAGCAACGCTTGCGTTGTGTTTCGTCATGTGAGGTTACCAGAGGACCAATTACACACTTGTAACGCTTCCAGTATTCCAGGTTGACGCTGATTGCTTACCATCAGGTGATCGGTCTGCTCGTTTACCGACTTATACCATAAAAAACGAGACATATATAAAATACGTGTCTAATATTGTTTCATTACCTAACTGACGGACTAATTAGATTTTTAATTTTCATATCCTGTCATCATCTCTATTGTGTCCGATATCTATATAATATAAGTGTACTTTAAGTGTACATCTGTCTAGCCCTTCGGAATTTAAAAAGCGTGATGTTATTTTGTTTTTTTTTTTATTTTATACTGACTGTAGTTATGATTCAGTATTCCTTGTTTGTTAAATGAAATTTTTATTTCAAGTTTTTTATCTTTGGTTTCTTTTATTAATACAATTTAAGTCTCGAATGTAATTATTTGTATTATTAATACAATATTTATTATGTAAGTTGCAATATAATTAAATATTAATTAGTTTTAAGGGAGTCTGGAATTGTGCTCGGTATATGGCAATAGGCTCACCCCTATTACATGGGACTCATAACATAAAAAGTGAGTGTTACATTATACAGTGGCTTTAAGTGCCGTAATGTACGCCTATGCCTATCCCTTCGGGGATAAAAGGCGTGATGTTATGTATAATTAAATACTAAATAGTTTTAAGTTAAAATCTAAGAATGAGCAATTAATTTATTTTCATTGATTAATTTTGTTTAAAAATTTTATAAAACGTACTATTGTTATTGGTCACAAGTTTGACTGCTAAAGGCTGATCTACACATTGGGCCAATTTTGCGTATTTTTTTTATTTTATTTTTTTAAGGGGGAAAAATCATCGTATGACTGCTTCCGCCTGAGTGAGGCGGGAGGGAGTGTCAGACTCTTACTGACTAAAAACCACCCCGTTCCTTCTCCTGCACGTCGAGCCGGTTACCCGTTAGATTCTCCACGACTCCGAATCGGCATCAGCCTTATTGGGCCCCATCCGTGGTGGTCTGATGGCTCTTTGAGGCGCGCGCGGAACGCGACGCGCCGTACGCTCGGGTCTGTTTCTGGTCGGACGGGGAGCCACCCATGCTCGCCGTCCGCAGGCCCGCGCTTACGGTGGCCGGAGATCGTAATTTAATAATTGGGCCAGCAAGTTAGTCCAATATATATTGGACTACTTGACCTTCGTGTCGTGGTGATCCGCAGGCTTAAGACGCCCGCTTCTCATGCATGAGGGTGTGGGCTCGAAACCTACCAACGGCAAGTATCAATGTGACTTATTCCGAGTTATATGTACTTTCTAAGATTATCTAGACATCACTGACAAACGGTGAAGGAAAACATCGTGAGGAAACCTGGGCTTATAATTTCTAATGATGAGTTTGAAATCGCCAACCCGCATTGAGCGAGCGTGGTGATTTATGCTTAAACCTTCTCCGTGTGAGAAGAGGCCTTTGGTCAGCAGTGGGCATTTATAGGCAGTTGATGTTGTAGGTACTTGGAGTTCAAAGTCAAAATTAAAAGCATTTATTTTAATTAATCCATCATTTGGTACTTTGAAACGATACAAATACATAATAAATAATAGTCTGTCAGTCAGTCCGTCAGTGAAGTTAGGTGCTCATTCCAACAAGTAGATTCGAATGGAGAAGAACGGGCAAGAAATTCCATCTATACTACTCATTACTAACTCGTTAGCGTCAACTACCACAGTCTGCCTACTCCTTCGGGTATAAAAAGCGTGATGTTATGTTATGTAGTAATTTCAACCAATATACGAAAATTATTAAAATGCAATTTATTATATTGGAATGTCAGATTGGAATACTAAATATAAAATAACTCATTTATAATTCACTATATTAGTCCAACATGTTAGACCGATACGTTGGTCCAATGTGTAAACAGGGACATTTACAATACACTATATTGGCCTTATGTGTAGAGCTGCCTTAAGGAATCGCAGGTTCGATTCCCGGGTCGGATACAGAGATTTTTAAAAATGTTTCTGTAACTAGCTAATTATAATAAGGGATGAAATGATTTGTGAATAGAGGGTGTTAAATTGTATATGGTCATCTCTGTATACCCCTTTAGAGAATATAAGGCGTGTTTTATAATAACTATCGTGAGACATACTAAATTAAGTAAAAACGCGGGTTACTCACGTGAATATACTGAGAAAAGCTCTACTAGTTTCTAACCACACAGTGAGCTGCGCGACGTCGCCGCAACCGCGCACGCTGCTCATGAGGAAGAACCCCTCTGTGGTTCGAAACTAGTAGAGCTTTTCTCAGTATATTCACGTGAGTAACCCGCGTTATTACTTAATATAAGGCGTAATTATATTTTTTAATTTCTTAAAATATGGTTGTGCATTTTATTACAATGTACTTTAATTATTTATTTATTAATTTTTTCATAATTCCGTGCAAGCGTTCCCAAAAAAATTGTCATTATCAAATATTTAAGATTTTTATAAATGTTATGAGTTACTGCCAATAATATAAAATTGATTTTATATAATTAAAACTAGCTACTTTCACCCGCTCTGCTCGGCGCCTATTGATCGTGTTTTATATAGCCTATAGCTTCTTCGATAATGGGTCTATGCAACACAAAAAAATTTTTTCAAATAAGACCAGTTATTGTACCTACCTGCTTAATTTTAGTATGAAATCGGATGTTTAGTAATTCACATATGTTAATCTCTCGCGTGTTTCTCGTACATACGGGTGTACGAGAGAGTTGAGTGCCCATCGCGCAATTGTACACACGGGTGTACGAGAAACGCGCACCGATTGGATATTTTTTCTGTGACGTGTATTTTCAAGTTTGGAACCCGTTCTTTATTTGATTGGACAGAATATTTAATTCGCTTTTCTATTAAAAAATATTTACCCGTCTGTACGAGAAACACGCGAGAGGTTAACAGTCCTGACATGGAGAATGACTAAATTCGAGCCCGATATCGAGGATTGGGTACTTTTTTCGAACTGTCAAAAACGACAGTTTTCTATGAATTTTGTACGCGATTGTGTATTATGACGTCACGTTTTTTTAGCGTCAAACAGATGAATTATTTCATAAGAAAAAAACTGGAATAATACTAAAATTAAGTTGGTCATAAAATCAATTAATGAAAGTGTGATTGTTTTTTAATATTTTATTGTGTTAAACATTCGAAATAATTCATTTTTTATTAAGGAAAGTACCCAATTACTTCAATTGATTTTCAAGCTTATCCAATTGAAATAAAATTTTAAATCTATTACCTAATGTTTATGACTTAGCGATCGTCCTTTGTCCCCATCCGTGTCAAGACTTTCTTTGCTTTGATTTTGTCTATTATTATTTTTACTGAGGTATGTGGCGTATAGTATAATAGTATTAAATATTGTGATTTTACTTAAAAATAACTAATTATTGTAAATATTGAAGAACAGATGCGGACTTTATTTTTAATAATACATACATTTATTCTGTTATATTTTGATGTTTTATTTTCTAATTTTACCTTTAAAATAAGTAAAAATAAAAGCTAAGATAATAATAAAGAATTTCCCTTACTTAAAATATTAAATACTGCCTTATATTTCCGACTACTTTTGTCCGAATAAAAAGGACGAAAATCTTCGAGATATAAACATGACTGTCTATTAAGGCGGCCAACCGTCCCGTATTCTGCGGGACCGTCCCGTAATGCTAGATGTAATCCCGCTTAGAAATAATTTATAAAATAGTCCCGTAAAACGTTAGATGCGTCCCGCATACCCATTTCTTTTTTTTTCATTTCATACTACACGACACCAACACACGCGCACTAACAACAGCGCGAATAAATGAAGATCGGAAAATCGTCACTAAAAGTGAAAACACTACGTGCTCTGCTTGTACTTAAATTTAATATTGGAAGTTGCGAAGATTTTCATGACATACCTACTCAATAAGAATCCTGAACTTGTTAAAAAGTGTCACTCTAGAGTGACAAATTGTATTTATCTCTAGAGATAAATACAATTTTATTAATAGTTAAATAACTTTGGACCTAAGTTTTATGTTTTAATGTAATTGTACGTAGGTAGGGTGTGGAGCAGAAGCATTGTCGTTATGTTCTTCAAAAAGGGAGATAAAACCCTTTTGAAGAACTATCGTCCTATTTCTCTTTTGAGCCACATCTATAAGCTGTTTTCCAGGGTCATCACGAATCGTCTCGCACGAAGGCTTGATGAGTTTCAGCCCCCCGAGCAGGCCGGGTTCCGAGGAGGATATGGCACCATGGACCACATTTACACGATGAGGCAGATTATACAGAAGACCGAGGAGTATAATCGGCCTCTATGCTTGGCGTTCGTGGACTATGAGAAGGCCTTTGACTCTATCGAGATCTGGTCTGTTCTGGAGTCCTTACAACGGTGCCAAGTCGACTGGCGATATATCCAAGTGCTGAGAGAACTGTACGAAGCTGCGACTATGGCCGTCCAAGTACAAAATCAGCAGTCTGAACCTATTCACCTGCATCGAGGAGTGAGACAAGGGGATGTTATATCCCCCAAATTGTTCACAAATGCTATGGAGGATATGTTCAAGACACTGCATTGGAAAGGACGGGGCATAAACATAAACGGCAAGTATCTCTCACACTTGAGATTTGCAGATGATATCGTCATCGTGGCTGAAACCGTTCAGGACTTGCAATATATGCTGTGCAGCCTGGCTGATGCTTCCGCGCGCATTGGGCTCCGGATGAATTTGGACAAAACAAAAATAATGTTCAATGAACATGTCATTCCGGAGCCAATTGTTCTCAACGGGTCGCCTCTCGAAGTCGTTCAGGAATACATCTACCTAGGACAAACCCTGCAGTTTGGTAGGAACAGCTTCGAAAAGGAGGCCCGTAGAAGGATACAGCTTGGCTGGGCAGCATATAGAAAACTTAATCAAGTCTTCTCGTCTCAGATACCGCAAAGCCTGAAGACAAAAGTCTTCAACGAGTGCGTCCTTCCAGTAATGACATACGGAGCCGAGACGTGGACACTGACAGTGCGACTGGTCCACCAATTTAAGGTCGCGCAGCGAGCTATGGAGAGGGCTATGCTCGGAGTCTCTTTGAAGGATCGAATCCGAAACGAAGTGATCCGACAGAGAACCAAAGTTATCGACATAGCCCAAAGGATCAGTAAGCTGAAGTGGCAGTGGGCCGGTCACATTTGTCGAAGAACCGATAACCGTTGGGGTAAACGTGTTCTAGAGTGGAGACCGCGTCTGGGCAAACGCAGTGTAGGGCGCCCTCCAGCTAGGTGGAGTGACGACATCTGCAAGGTGGCTGGCAGTGGTTGGATGAGAAGAGCTGAAGACCGAGCTCAGTGGCGTGCCATAGGAGAGGCCTATGTCCAGCAGTGGACGAATACAGGCTGATGATGATGATGTACGTAGGTTTTTTGTAAGGGGGGGAGGGGGATCATAGAATGAATTCTCCCGCCTGGGTGAGGCCGAAGGGAGTATCAGACTCTTACTGACTAAAAACTACCCCGTTCCTACTCCTGCACTTCGATCTGATGTAATTGTAGGTGTACCGACTAAACTTTATCTACAAAAAGTCCCGCATTGGACTTTCAGAAAGTTTCTATTGTTACAAAGTTGCCTTACTGTCTATTGTTATAAAGTTATAATATTTTTCTACCAGCATAAATTACGTTCTACTCAAATCTATATCGCGGAGAACCTAACGGGTCACCGGGGCTTCGGCTCGAAGCGCAGGAGAAGGAACGGGGTGGTTTTTAGTCAGTAAGAGTCTGACTCTCCCTCCCGCCTCACCCGGGCGGGAGAAGTCGTTCGATGATTTTCCCCCGTAAAAAAACTCAAACCTATGCTTTGTCTAACCTAACTTACAACCCCTGTTATCGGTAACTTATTAATTTTGTCGGAGGTTCAGTATTCTATTTGGAAGTTTAGTTTTGATATGCGAAGACCCATTTATTTAAACTTGTTGATTCATCATGGCGCCAATGTTCGACAGCGGAGCTGCAATACATACAAGCAGTCCGGCGTCCGCCTATCACATACTCTGGGAGTGTGATCTCAGGCAGTATGAACTTAACACTATGTTAAATAATTTAATTGTTTCGTCAGGTGTAGCTTATTATACGGACCTTGTGGAATCTAGAACAAATTTCCGTGCGTTTAGGCGCTTTTGCCATACCTATTAGGTACTGGAAGCAAGTAAGTATAACAGCTCACACATAGGACCCACTTAGATTTTAATCAAATTTCCGTGGTGCTTGGCGACTGGGCTTCACCCAGTTGTACAGTATCTTCTTCTTTGTGCCTTTAGGCTTAATTCACTGTCTCCTGCACTAATTCACCGAGGGAAGTGTAAACTATAGTTTTTTTTCTTCTCTTCTGATTTATTTCGTTGCGGGAACCCTATACTTATTATACTCTTTGCCGGGAACCAATACTATTATATATTCATTTCCCTAGCACGCGCCGGACTTCAGTGTTCCGGTGTTTTCATGGTTGTATCTACTGTAGATCCTGGTGTACAGGAGTTGCAGCGGTTTTGGGAGGTTGTGGCGAGCTTTTCCCATTAAAAAAGATCGCTAGAGATAGGTTTGTTTTTCGAAACCATCATAATTTTCTCTTCAAATTGTGATGAGAGTCTAATATAGGTATAGGTAGTATAGTCATGGGACTATGAACCAACCTTGGTGCTTACTCTTTAATCCAATTCCGATCGATCGACATTGATATTGTGAAATTTCGTACTCTTGAGTTGCAACACTAGCGCCCATTGCAACCGTATTGCGTGGATATTGAATGAACTAAATAGTATTGAATTTGGTTTTATATTCTATAGGTACCTACTCTGAATGCTATTGTAACAGCTACGATAGGGGTTATATAGTTTTGACATTAAATAGTTATTGAGCTTTCATTGCATTGACATTGAGATCGGTTCCAAGAGTAAGCACCCTGGCCTTTAGTCAGTTTGTTAATCAGGTTTTCAGGTTCAGGTTTGAAATAAAAGAATGTTTTAGATTACATCTAATAATTTAATGTCAATTAAATTCATATTAATTTATAACAAAATAATATTAACATTTCAAATCTTATGATAAACCAAAATTTTGCTGTCCAATTTTGAAGAAAATGAGAATGGGGCCTACCATATTTATGCTCACTACATGGCACGAGTATGAAACTCGTTCTAGTCCAATAGAGAATTAGCTAGGGCCCGCGCCCAGGGCCATATGTGCTCCACAAATTGTTTCGGATCTGGGTGTCATGTGTATGTGAACTTGTATGTTTGTAAATGCACACGACACAGAAAATCCGAGGAGTGTGGGGCAAGTATAAAATAATTTCCAAAAAAGCTCCGAATTATTGTGCCCAACAGTTTAGTCTAAGACGGCCATGCCAGCGTCACAACAATGGACGTTCACTATTTTACAGCTGTTGTGATTGGACAAAAATAGTCCTTCATAAAGCCCTATCTAATGAGCAAAAATACATTAGCCCCATTGTAACAGTTTCACTCAAATGTATATCACAAAATAATATTATGAAAAAAATAAGATACAGTTTTCTAAATTAAAATAAACAAGATTCTTATTCTCATTAACTAAGTTTTAAGTATTTGTTGGACCCGTCCAATAGTTACAATTAGAGAGCTTAACTAACTAAACTTATTAAATCATCAATCCCTCTAGTAGAGGGATACAGCTTGACTGGGCAACGTATATGAAGCTCAATCAAGTCTTCTCGTCGCAGATACCGCAAAGCCTGAAGACAAAAGTCTTCAACGAGTGCGTCCTACCAGTGATGACATACGGAGCCGAGACGTGGACGTGGACTGACAGTGCGATTGGTACACCAATTAAAGTCGCGCAACAATGCTCGGAGTCGGAATCTCTTTCGGATCGAATCCGAAACGAATTGATCCGACAGAGAACCAAAGTTATAGATATAGCCCAAAGGATTAGTAAGTTAAAGTAGCAGTGGGCCGGTCATATTTGTAGAAAAACCGATAACAGTTGGTGGTCTAGAGTGGAGACAGCGTCAAAGCAAACGTAGTGTAGGACGCTCTACAGCTAGGTGGAGCGATGACATACGCAAGGCGGCTGGCAGTAGTTGGATGAGAAATGAGAAGAGCTGAAGGCCGAGCTCAGTGGCGTGCCATTGGAGAGGACTATGCCCATCAGTGGACGAATACGGACTGATGATGATGATGATGATGATAAAATCATCAATATGGTTTTCAAAGTCAAGTCAAACACATTTATTCCAATTACTTAGACTAGAAAGGCACTTTTGAATGTCATACAAATTTTTAAAATGTCAGTCTATCGGTCAGTCGTCTAGTGAAGCTATTTCCTCGTTTGAAAGTGTAGATTCCTATGGAGAAGAACGAGCAAGATACTCCATAAGTTACTCTTTTTCAATCAGGTTCACAATACAATTCTTGATTACATTGTTTCGATAACTATCGTGAGACATATTAAAATAATTGGACGGGACTGACCTGTTCAATTATTTTACGCTTTTACGCTGAGCGACCGCGCACGCTACACATGAGAAAGAGTCCCGCTGTGACTCGAAACTAGTAGAGCTTTTCTCAGTATAATTTATGTGAGTTACTGTTTTTTCAATTCATTCATTGATACAGTTGACGCATTGATTGGAAAGATCAAGTAAGACTCTGAGTCACTGTATGCTGGTCGCTTCCAACCTCGCGATGTGTAGTCAATGCGGGAGGACTGTGGGAGGCAGTAGACAGAATGTAGCTGTATGCACGGTAAAAGCGATTGTCGAGCGCTTAGTCTCGAATTGGTTTTTGGAAGCAGACTCATACTGAGATCATGTTTTTTATGGGTTTTATATGGAGCGGCAAACCAGTAGATGGATCACCTGATGGTAAGCAATCGGTACTGTCCATAGAAAAGGATTAACAAGTGCGTAACTGGCCATTAAGGAGAGGAGCGATCAAACAGTGAAATCCGGTGACCACTCTCCACTAACTACATTATAGACCTTATTTCCAATGTTTACAGACTACTTTTGTATGAACAAATTTAGGGGATGATTTTCAACAGGTTAACACGCACCCGAATTATTAATTGGCACATAATAATTCAGAGCCCTTGTAGAATGTTTCTTTTTTTTTAATGTTGCCCTACACTAGGATTTTCTCCTGTATCGTGAGTGCATGCTACAAGTTCACATATACATAACACCCAGACCCGTAACAACAATTTGTGGATCACATTCACAGTTCAAACAAAGATTTTCTCCATGCGGGAATAGAACGCGCTACACGTTGTGGAGCAGCCGATTGTTGCGCACTTGTAGCGGGTGTGTGCCCGTCGTAGAAATTGTCAGTCGTTCTTTGGGCACGGGCCCGGAGTACTCTTATGGTAAAGACGGTACTGAATGCACGCGTTGTTTGGCGCCAGGTTTCTGTGAGACTGTGGTCTCGAATCTAGTTGAGCCAGAAAACTACTGAATGCGATCAGAAATTTATTGTTATACCATAGAATGGTATACTATGGAACAATATCAACTACAGTTAGGTGGGTAGCATATGTACCTTGGCTAGTAAAACCTTCAAAAAATATCTGTTATGTAGCATATTTCAGTAAAAAATCTACCAAGGCTCGCACAATTCGTACTTTTCAAGGCATTCTATAAGCCAGCCGACAGGCAACGCTTTCAAATGCTGCATATTATACATCGGTTCATACATATCTTTAAATATAATATAATGTGAACAATACACCAACTTGCCATCTTTCTTCGCATGGTACGGTACTAATTTCTCATTCTCCGGTATCAATTCTGGGTTTGGAACTCTTCTGAGCACTATGCCATCAGCATCCGTAATCAACTTCGTCAAAATAGCTTTAGTTAGGACTACAGTCTTCGATATCTCATACTTCGTATTGAAATTATGCAGATAAAAATGGCAGCCATTAAAAATACCTGGCAATTGCTTATATTTTATGATTCGTGAGTTTCGTGGACCGTTATATGTTGTTGTTCCTACTCCTTTCACTTCGTAGTTTTCCAATGGTTCCAAGTTATCTTCGGTAGACTTCGTTGTCCATTCAGATGAAATTACCCATATATGGTTAACTATAGCCTGAAGTATGTCCAAACTGGACACACATACCCCATCTTCGGCATCAACGATGAGATGGGTAACCTTTTTAGTGAATTTTGCTTCAATGTTGAGATTAGTATGATGTTTAGCTAAGAGTTTAAGTCTATTGTGTACTGTGCGGTATGAAGAAACGCAGTAAATGCGGATATCGTCAGATTCTATCTCCGAATGCAATGCAGCTATATGAGATATATTAATACTTTGTGTCTGTAATATATTTTCTACCGCAGCCAGGAGCCTACTCTTCAGATCTACAGATGCAAGTTGGTACGGAGTTTCTCCCTTACAATTCTTAGCGTGCATGTCAGCACCATGTTTCACCAACTCCTCGGCAATTTCAATGTGGTTGTACCTTACTGCCTCGTGTAACGGAGTCTCATTGCCTTGTCCAGGCACATCAATTAAAGTATTATACTGTAGAAGTAGTAACACAAGATCCAGTCGCCCGTTTTGTACGACTTCATGCAACGGAGTCCATCCAGCGTTGTCCTTAGTATTAGTATTAGCACCTAAAGTCAATAGTTCCTTAATTCGGTCAATTTTACCGAGTCTACACGAAATATGGAGAGCTGTCTCTCCTTTATTGTTGCGTTTTTCATTGTTTTTATTGAATTTTGAACTCATATTTGAATTTAAAGTCTCACTCAGGTCTTGGCGAGAGTTCGTCTTGTCAGATAAGGGTTTTTTAGAGCTAGATACAGTGCTAGCAACCTTAGTTGGCGCGGCGACAGCGTCATTTTTCTTTGTTTTCTTACCCGAAGTCACACTCACTTCCTTAGGCCGGAAACCCTCGAACATCTTATTTAGTTCGACTGCAGAGTCGATACATCCCTGGATACGGTCGTCGACAAACGTTTCACAGTCATTAAGAGGTATTTTGCAAGTTGGACATAGTTTTAAGTTGGTATGCACGGCACATATTAAATGAAAACATTTCTTCAATACCACAGGCTCTTTGCACAATTCGTTGCATACACCGCAAACATAATCACTGTTTACAGCATCTAAAGCTTTTAGAAACTTGTTTAAGTTTGTAGTATTCATTTTTAGAGAAAAAGCTCTATTTGTTTTTCTAGTCGCGAAGTTTTCATGCCGCGGGAAAATGAAAATTACTAAAATTATTTGTGACGTTTTTGACATTGACATTTGCTGATTGATTGATTTAACTGACAACTAAAAGCTTTTGCCCGCTGGTATTCTCGTCAGTTCGACGCCTTAAAGGCAAAAATACATTACCGTGGCGCGGTGCGTCGTGCGAATCCTCCCTAAACAGGTGCACCCCCGAAAAGACGAAAAGACATTCTCTGTTTCCGCTCCCGTGGGACTTCTGTAATAAAAACTATCGTTTTAGCAAATTCAACTCAAAATGATTCAATGATTCTGTATTCGATGGCTAAGAAGATTTATACAAACTCTCATCCACCATAATCCACTCCTAAGAGGATACAATAGCCACTATAGGGTATCCTCTTAGGAGTGGATTAGATCAAAATCCTTTCATAGAGGATTCATACGTCACACTGGTCATACTATCTACCTGCATGTCAAATAACCCGATTGGTTTAAAACTGACAGTTTCATACAAACTTTCATCCCCTATTTTATCCCCTTTAGGTTGGACATGAACAATATCCTTTCTTAGCGGATGCCATAACATCTACCTGCATGCCGAATTTCAGCCCAATCTGTTATTTGGGTTGTGTGTTGATCGATCATTATATCAGTCATTCTGTCACTTTTAAGTAATACCTACGTTATACATATAATCAATAGAAGATGGCGTGCTCACTTAACCTCTTGGAATATTAATGTCGTTAGCAATAACATCCTTGGCAATAGGCGCAAATTAAACCCCAAGGCCTCTGCCTCGAATATTGCGGGCAGCAGGGCGGCGGCGGCGGCGGCAGCGTGGGAGCGGCAGGATCTTATGCGTAAAATCAAATGGACTGGTTCTCAAAAACACAGCGGCGTTGCGGCGGGCAACGAGGCTGTGACACCTGACTACTGTAGACTTACACGCACGTCGTACACACATTGACACGAAGGACATCTGTCATTTTCTTAAGCTGGTAATGTGGTTACATTACACACGCACACATAGTTAGAAATAACTCACTAACAATTTTGGTGCGTCAATAATTTCTAAGTGACAAAGTTTACCTTTTTCAACGTCCATAAAGTATCTAACGAAATGAAAATGGATGAATAGAAATGAAACAACTAAGAAAAATATAAAAATCATTTATTTACATTTATTTACTTAAATCACGAAGCCTTTTGTTAATTACAAAATATGTTAACTATTAATTAAAAATACGACTAGAGTAACAAGCAACATAATCAAAGATGGCGTCGTTTTGGCGCCAAATCCGCAAGTGAAATCTGTCACATTTGACATCGCTAATTCGAAATTGTATGGAATTTTATTGTAGGGATGAGTCGATAAAACATTAATTGTGGCCAAACTCTTAGTATTTGAATGGAAAATCACTTCCATTTCGTGGTTAAAGGAGCCATACATGGAAAACATAGCGTTATGGAAAGGTGGATGTTTGCCAAACAATTGGTCCAGCTTTGTGAAGACGTTGACGATCTCGTGTCTCCGAATGTTGGTGAGGTTGTTGGCGACAAATATGTGGCCCAAGTTTGACCAGCTGACGAAGCAGAATTTTTGGTTTCCTTCCGGACAGAGGGGGACGATTTTCTTTATATTTTCTGATGTTCCATTGGTTTCTGTAAAAATAAAGGAATTGATGAGACACTGTAGTAAGTATTAAGTTCGGTTGCCCGGAATTGAAATATTTTAAATGCTCTCTTAATTTTCGTTACTTGTTTTACAATAATTGCATCGCGATGGGGGAATCTAGCAATTATCATATGCCTCATGTAATAGGGGGTGACTGGGTGAGCTTATTGCCATATACCGGGCACAATTCCTGGCTCCGTGCTATTACTGAGATTTTAAAAAACCCAGTAATACTTTGCCCGACCTGGGAATCAAACCCGAGACCCCTTAGTCGCACTTGCGATTACTCGGCCAACTAGGCAGTCAGGCAGACCTCAATAGACTAGACTTTACATTAATGACCTTTATCAACAGAGAACATCTCCTCTAACTCTATTTTTATGCCCCATACTAGGATGTTGTCCTGTGTCTTGGGTGTGTTGACAAACATACAAGTTCACATACACATCACACCCACACCCGGAACAACAATCTGTGGATCACACAAAGAGTTGCTCCGTGCGGGTATCGCACCCGGTACACGTTGCGCGGCAGCCGCTTGCCGAGCCACCGCGCCATCCATGCAGTCAAATGTACGCTTAGCAGATGAATAGGGTAGATGCCTAATTTTCATTTTAACTCGTTGAGTGCCGTCATTATAGACACAATTAAAGAACAATAGGTTGCGGTCACCGGTGTCCTCACGGTATTTGACAGTTTAATGTACGTCTGGTAGATTATTTTAAATCATTAGACACGTATTTTTTATTTTCTTACAGAAACGAATACTTTCGGCGATATATTGATTAGACATGTCGCGTGACGTCACTTCTATGTACATTTTATGCGTAGAAATAACGTTTTAGCCCCCACTCCTAAACTTTGATTCGTTTTATCTAAGTATTGTTTTATTATACGACAAAATAAAAAAAAAATACGTGTCCAATATTTCTTCATTACCTAACTTACGGACTAATTAGATTTTTATTTTCATACCCTGTCGTCATCCCTATTGGAGATGAAATAAAACATTAACTCACCTTTAAAACTATTAAAAGCCTTCATACTAATAAAAGCAACGTCACTGTCGCCATCTACTAGAGATTTAAGCGCCTCTGTTTCACCAGCTTCGTAGCACTTCTTCCCATCCATGCCAGGAGCACATATTTCTTTAAAATACCCCTCCACATAGTCTTTACAAGAAATTTTTTCATGTTTGGTTATATAATCTTTGACAGAATGCCAAGCGGCGCCATCATAGCGCGGGAAAGCTGCTCGTTTCCCGCGCAAGTCCGCCATTTTGGTGATTTTTGCGTCCGCGTTGATGTAGGCTACTATTGAACCTGTTTTCTCCACTATTGGTGTTATTTCGTGCAGGATCGGTGTTAGGGCGTAGTCTCTGGAAATAAGAAAATTTTAGAATTACAGTTTCAACCTTTTTATCATCTGGTATTATTTATGTTTTTTTTATGGCATAAGCCGGTAAACGAGCAGACGGATCACCTGATAGTAAGCAATCGGCGTCGCCCATGGACACCTGGAACGCTAGAAGCGTCACGAGTGCGTTACCGGCCTTTTGGGGATTAGGAGTTTGAGGATCGGTGGGAATTTAAGGATTGGGGAGATTGGGGAAGGGCAGGGTAATTGGGCCTCCGGTAACCTCACTCACACGACGAAACATTAAGTTGTTGTGGGAAACGAAAGAAACTTGTTGTGGGAATAAGATATTTTTCGCTTTAAAACTCTGACCCTCCGATAAAACCCTTTGTCCCTTATGCTTGTTCGTACTACGCTTGTTATTTATTTGAATGACGAGTATTTAGTAGCCTTCTCTCGCTTCTGTCCCAAAATCGAAGCGAGAAGGAACTATAAAACTCGCTACTCGACTAAAATAGTAGCGCAGTGCGAAGAAGGCTTTAGCTACTCGACCTATCGCGCTTGGATTACGGCATTTTAGCTGAGCACTGGACTTTTTGCATTGTACATTGTTCTGTTTATAAAAATTATATTTCGTATTTTTTTTTTAATTTTTGTAACGGTCCAGAAACCTTTTTTTTATTTTCTTTCTTGTAGGAATACCATCACAAACTTTTTGAGATTAGCTGTCAGACATGGCTAGTCTCAATCCGTTGTTTAGGCTACTAGTCAGAATTTTACTTATAAACACAATTTATTGAGCTGTGTATAGCGTAAAGTGGAAAAACAATAAGTAATACGACCTTACAGAAAACTGGCGTGAAATAATGCTTGCTTGGTTTTCGATTGAGGTTTACCGGATCAATCCTTCCTTCCCCAAAAGCTTGCTTACCATCACGTCCCCAATAATCCCCACCAAATCCTCAAATCCTCAAATTCCTAATCCCCGAAAGGATGGTAAAGCACTTGTAACGCCTCAGGTGTTCCGAGTATCCATGGGTGACGTCGATTGCTTAGGATCACGTGATCGTCTGCTTACTTATCACCATGACCCCAATAATCCCCACCAACCCTCAAATTCCTAATCCCCAAAAGGCCGGTAACGCACTTGTAACGCCTCCGGTGTTCCGAGTGTCCATGGGCGCTGCCAAATGCTTACCATCAGGTGATCGTCTGCTCGTTTACGGGCTTAAAGAACTGTTCAAAACGGCAGAAGATGTATGTTCTAGAAGTCGAGGCGACCATCACAGACTAGTACTAGAGGAGTTTCCTAAGTTAACAAAATATAATAAAAGCTGCCTAAGTATGTGTGTCCGAATATTTAATAAATTGCCGATAACATTAAAAACACTTAACCTCAGACTATTTAAAATTAAATTATATGTATGGTTGAATGAAAATATTTTTTATAGTATTAAGGAATTTTTTGAACATAAATAATAATGTATAACTTATAACTACGAGTTAAGTTAGTTAAAATAAGGATTAAGTTAAAATTTGCATGCTTTATCTATTAAGCAAAACATCATCATTGTAACTATAACATCTTTGTATACCATGTTTTTACGTTTTATTTTTATCTTTAACTCCATCTTTATACCATAAAAAAATGTGGTCTGTCTGCTCATTTAATTAAAAATGTAACAAACCTCATTCCCGCCACCAGCCAGTCACTATCAGCGGCAGTAGCATCACATTCTCTATCAGAGACTGCCTTCAGACACTCCTCGATAGAATTCCTCATGATGCACTGGAGAGGCGGCGCTATGCCGTACACTGCACCGGCCTCGCTTAGCCATTCGCATTTGTTCTTAGCTAGGAGAGAGGTCGTGCAGAAAGTTATGTGTCTGGAAAAAGGTAAGGTTCATTTTAGACATATTTGAACTGAATTTTTTGGACTACGCAGTAGCCTTAGCAACCAACTGCTTGCCAAATGTAATTCACCGAGGGAAGTGAAAACCATAGTTTTTCTT